CCCGTCCCATACATGCCCTCCCTCCCCAGAGTTTTGTGTCCATTGGTTGTACTTATTATATATGCATGTATACAAGTTCTTCGGTTGATCTCTTATCTCCCCCAGATCTCCCTAACCTCCCTGCTGTAATTTGAGTCTGCTTGTTGCTTTACTGTCTCTATATCTATCTTTTGGTCCTTCAGTTTATAATGTTCTTTATCATCCAAGACAGAAAAGCCCACTATCATTACTGCAATTCAACATTGTGCTAGAGACTTTAGTTAGTGAGTAAAACAAGGAAATGGAAATAACAATAGGCAGAAGATACTAAACTGTTACTACTTGAAGACTCTATGATTACTGACACAGAAAATTCAAGAGGGCCTATAAACTTGGAACTAAAAAAGAGTTCAAGTTTGCAAAATGCAAGATTATTAATTAAAAGCCAACCATCAATCAATACACTATAAAACATAAATTTGAAAATATAATTTATAATAGCAATAAAAACTTTAAAAGCTATGTAAGGATAGTTTTGTGAAAACCACTGGCACAGTTAATTCCTTTCAGTTTTCAGTTGGGGAAATTAGAAGCTCTGAGAGAGGAAATGACTTTTTGAAGGATAATAAGCCAGGGGCAGGTCTGGATTTTTCAATGGCACCAAGTCCTAGAGATCTGAGTGTTGAATAATTTTGGTAATGTTAAAAAAACAGAACTGTGATTTAAAAATATTTTTCTGATTATGAATTCAATTTTGATTCTAAAAAATATAGGAAATTTGGAAGAATATTCAGTAATGTCACTAACATTCCCATGCTACTACCTAGAGAACTATGACCAATGATTTGCTGCATTTCCTTCAAAATATTTGTCTATGTATATGTTTGTAAAAGTAAAATTAGGGTTTATCATGCATATCATTTTGTGCACTGCTTACTTATACGTTTCTGTAAAATCACCTAGCCTTTTTGAATTTGATAATATAGCGCTCAATTATGCTGATGAAGCATTTATTTGACCTATCTAAGTTTTCAGAGAAAAACAAGTATCAGATCTGACTGTGATAATCATTGGATAAAAGTTAAACCTGCCGAAACCAGTTTGGCTCAGTGGATAGAGCATCAGCCTGCTGACTGAAAGGCCCCAGGTTCGATTCCAATGTATATTGGTTGCGGGCACATCCCCGGTGGGGATTGTGCAGGAGGCAGCTGGTCGATGTTTCTCTCATCGACGTTTCTAGCTCTCTATCCCTCTCCCTTCCTCTCTGTGAAAAATCAATAAAATATATTAAAAAAAACACACACAAAACACCATTTCATTAAAAAAAAGAAAAAGAAACAGTTAAACCTCAGAGCCAGCAGACTGAAACAGGTAAGTTTCTAAGGCTGGCGGTTAGCCTGGTGGAGAAGAAATGGCAAAACCATCGGTCCCTCCAGGAGGAGGACAGAAATCTGGTTTGCAGGAGCGAATGGGATTTTGAGCCTATTCTTGGAGACAAATTAGGTCTGAGATTTTTATCTCATCCCCCACCCTCTGCAGTCTTGGCTTCCTTCCTGGTGAAAAGAGGACAGTATGGTGCCCAGACTCTAGTAAGACCAGCTCCTTTAGGCTCCAGAGCCTTTGCACTGGTCCTTGCTCTCCGCTGAAGGCAGCTCTGCCCTTCTTCCTATCTGGCTGCCCAGGTTGTCCCTTCAGGTCTGGCAGCCCTTCCCCGCTCTGCCCTCCAGGCCTGACAGGTGACCTTATTAGAGTCAGGAGGTCCTCTGCCACCAGCAGAGTGTCCAGGTCTTTCTTGGCCATTGCATCTGAAGCAGAATCCCTCCCTTTATTCTCCATCTAATTCCTTTTATCATGCGCCTCCCAACGCATCATAACTTGTCAGGACTTTGTCTACTGGCTGTTCCCTTGGGTCTTGTCTGTTTTCTTCTCTACTTAGGACCCCCTCCATCTTCCTGGCCGCTGTACCCCCCCAGGCCTGGCATATGGTCGGGACCCCATGCATGCTCCTGAGAAGACAACAGAACAGTAGCGGGGGGACCCCAGGTCCGAGGGCGCTCGCAGTGAAGGTTGTGGGAGGGCTCGGCTGATCCCAAATAGCAGGCGGAGGCAGGACGTGGGGGCGGGCTCTGGGCGGGGCCTCAGGTTTCGGGGCGGGGACCCGGGGGCGGAGCCTGGGGCTGGGGCGGAGCCTGGGGCTGCGGCGAAGCCGGCCGGACTGCGGCTGAGCCCGTGGAAGCGCCTCGCCCCGTCCCGGGCCTCGCGCACCCGCCGCCGGAAGAGGGCGCCCGCTCTCGTGGCGCCGCGGCTCCGCTGGGAGGCGCCTCCCGCGCCGCGCGGCTGGAGCCGCCACTCCGGGCGCGGGCTCAGTCGTCCCTCCGCCGCCGCCGCCGCCGCTGCCGGGCGCGGGCTCGCTCGTCCTCGCGCTCGTGCTCTCGGCCGCCGGTGTGTACCGGCGCGGCCGCCGCCGCTGCAGTGAGTGGGGCCGGGGCTGGGGGCCCGGGGCCGGGGTGAAGGCGGGGGGGTGTCGGGCACCGGGAGGAGCGGCCGGCCGAGCGCGGCTGGGAGAACGGGGTGGCGGGGCCGCGCCGAGGGCACCGGGAGCCGGCGGCGCGCTCCGGGGCTGGCACGGGCCCGCGGCGGGCTGCCCGCGGCCGGGCTGGGGCGGGGGTTCCGGGCCCGCCGGGCGGGACGCTGGTGACGGCGTCCCCGGGTCGGGCTCCGGTGCTCCCCCGCCCAGGCCCCAGCATCTCCGTCCCACGCCGGGGCCGCGCCGGGGCGGGCGCGGTGGGGACTCGGTCTGCGGGGCGCCGCCCGGCCGGGCACCTCGAGGTGCTTGGAAGGGTTTGTTGTGGGGGTGCTGCTTCTTAGCCCGTTTGCCCTCATTTAAAGCCTGCGGGAGGGCTGTGAGCCCCGCCTCGGGGAGTTCCTGCCCCCCACACGCTGACTGCGCGGAGCTGCTCGCTCCCAGATGCGTGTCAGCCCGGTGTCCTCCGCGCCAGGGGGCGGCGGCCGTGGCTGTGGCCGTGGCCGCGGGGCGCCCTGGGCACCTGCCGCGCCGGCGCTGGCGGAGGCGGTCCCAGGGTTGGACGGGAGAAATGAAACAGATCCTGTTTAGATATTGTGCTGAAGTTATCAAGTTTCTGTTCAAGTTATAGCAGTTCTAGATCAAGTTCATAAATCCAACTTCAGGACTTGGTGGTAGACGAGGTTGGGGTGCAGGGAGACCTGGGTGGCCCCGTCTGGCTAAGCATGTTTGGGGCGGCCTGGCCCCCCTCACCTTTCCCCCGGGGCACGTGCATCTCCGCTGTCACCAGTGCCCAGCGCCCGCCTGATTCGAGGGGAGGGGGCCAGCCAGGGCTCAGTGTTGACACAGGCCAGATGTCTTCAAAGGAACCATGTGTCTCTAGGAAAAGGAAAATCTTTACCCACGTGGCTGGTGGGGAGAGGAAACTTGCTCTTTGGCTGAGAACCATCAGTCCGGACCGACACTCGTTTTGGGTAATGCCCTAGTTAGTGGTCAGGACGGTCACAGATGCTATTCCTTAGGTTTGTGTGATTTGAGTTTTCATAAGTCACATTGAACCCAAAGCATCACTACGAAAAGGAATCCTAGGGTGGATCTTTCTATGAATCCCTCAGTGTGCCTTAGATTGTGACATTTGGAGTCTACTTAAGATGGAACACGCATGTTTGTTTGAATCCTCTTAACCTTGGAGATAATCCTGAGTCATGCTTTAAGAAGTTCCTTCTGCGGTCAGCACAGATGTCTGGCGGTCTGTGTAAAAGCCGGACGTGCCCCTGTACCTGTCGTTCTCCCCTCGGGGGCTGCGGGGAAGGGGGTCTGGGGAGATGGGGAGCGGAGTCAGAGGTCTTTGGTATTTCTCTGTCTTCATGCCAGTGCTCTAAATGGCTTGTGTTCACACTCTCAAGTTTCTTAACTTACCACAGAAATTTTGTTTATACTGCCACTAGCATTTTCATATTTGTTTAACACTTGCCAGTTGACAAGTGGTTTTCTATTCATGATCTTGCTTATTTTCTCCTCTGCGAAGAAGCAGCTGGGCATGAAGACTGATTTAATCAGGGTCTCCTAAGCAGAACCGGAGCAGAATTGGGATGCAATCCTCACCCATTCTCTTTCCTCTGCACTGGCCTGCCTGTGACTTCAGAACCCTAGTCCTGACTTGCTGCCCTGTAGGTCACTTGTTGCCTTTGTATTGTGCCGAAGTGGTATTCCTTTTTTGGGGAAGGTGCTGTTATCCTGTTTCAGCCTGTAGAAACGGGGAGTGTAAGAGGAATTGAATGATTTTGTGGTTATTTGTGACAGCTCTTTAGTATTTAGGACAGTTTTCACCTGAGAGTCTTCTAGTCCACCTGGAGAGAAGAGAGAGAAGAATTGGTTTTAGGAAAAAACAGCCCATTCCTTGAGTGGTGTGGTTAAGGATAACCTGGCATCACAATCACATTCTCCTTGTGCACCTGGCTACTTGTGCCAGCCTGTGTGCCAGTGTTAACCCAGAAGACTCCTTTAGATGTCACTGGACTAGTTACTGTGGAAAGTATTTCACTTTCAAACTCCCACATCCCAACAACAGAGAAATTCAGTACAAAGGTAATTTGCAGGTATGCACAGATGGAATTTATTGAGTCTTCTGAATGCCAGGCACGAAGATTTAATCGAAAGGCATTTTAAAAGGGCTGCCTGGAAACTTTGGGAAGGCAGTAGCAATAGGTTTTTATTATTATTCAAGTTTGGAGGACAGTGTGTATTGCAATCTATAGGTTGTTAGATAGGAGTAGAACTTTTACCCTAGAGCCGTGGTCGGCAAACTGCAGCTCTTTGGCCCCTTGAGTGTGGCTCTTCCACAAAATATTATGGCCTGGGCGAGTCTATGTTGAAGAAGTGGCGTTAGAAGAAGTTTAAAAAATTTGGCTCTCAAAAGAAATTTCGTTCGTTGTAGTGTTGATATTTGGCTCTGTTGACTAATGAGTTTGCCGACCACTGGCCTAGAGAACTCTTAGTCTGTACCTGAAGTGATAGACCCAGAATCTTGGAGTTAAATTGGTTCAGCATAACCATGAAGCCTGTAACTGCAGTTCTGCAGTAGTGAGGAAAATGGCTTTCAGTGGTTCTTGGGTTTTTTTTTTTTAAGGCATTGTTTAATTGTGCATTTTCCAGATTTGCTACTTTAGAAAATTCTTAGCATGTTCTCTTAAGGCTTTTGTAAATTCTTTAGCATTTTCCTTAATTATCTCACAGAATTTATACATTAGTCATAATCAACATTTGGAGCTTAAATGTGGGCGAATATTTAGTACTGTTTTATATTTTTAGGGAATGGTCACCAGTTGTTGCCATAAGAATTTTATTTGGGCCAGAGGTCAGGTTTTTCCAGGTGAACTGATTTTACAGGTTCTGGAGCCTTTCTTTGAACTTTATAATTGTGCTTGTTGCATCTACTGTTGTTTAAAATGGTCTGTTAGTAAGGCAGGTCACTTTAAAGGAAAAATTTTCATTGTTGTCTTCATAATCTCCATTCCTGGCAAATTTTCTGAAATGTTAGGTTTTTCTTTGTCTTAATCAAGTAAAACAAATCTGTTTGATGTCCATTTCAAGATCTTCTTCTGCTGCCCATCTTGTGGTCATTTAGCTTCTCATAAAGCCCTCCCTTGGAGACTGCCAGAAGGGAGAGAAGATGAAAAAATAAATCATTTTCTAATTGTTAGCAGCTCTGGAAAATGATTTAGAAGAGATGGAAGCTGTTCTGGAAATTCTTTTGGATTATATTCTATTTCATTCATCTGCGTTGTTTCTCGGGTGTTCCTAATAGTTATCAATTCAGAGGCCAATGATCCAGCTATTGGGAGACCAGGAATCTTCTAGCTTTGTGGGGTTTGTTTCTTGCTATAAGTATCTTCACAGAGGATATTTAGGAGTAAAGATAAAATTGAAGCAATGTTATTTTCCCCCTAGAGCTCTTTAGTGAATAATTTGATTTTTTTTTGGATAGTTTAGTCATTGTTATTGGAAGTGACTTTATTTTATTTTGATGTATCAAGTGTAAGGAGGCGTTTGGTTGCTTTTTAAGATTCCCATAATTGCTTTCCTAAATTATTAAGCTTGAGGGCATTACATCTTTGATTTGGAACAGAACCTTGGATTTGCTGTAGAACAGGTTCAGGGGCAGGATCTAATTTTCTTTTTGTGATTGTTTAAGAAGTTAACTTGTTTTGATTTAGCAGTAAAAAAAGGGAAAAGGCTTAGTAGTGGACAGACCTTGTGTATCAACTGTAACACTGATGATGTCTGCTTTGTTTCCTTGTCCTGGTCCCCATTTCTCATTTAACCATTTGGATTCTGCTGTATTGGAGTTCTTTACTTATAGACTGGACAGCAGCCTTCAGTCACACTAGGGCAAGTTAACATGTCAGACTCGAGGCCCGTGGGCCACATGTGGCCCACAACGAATATTTTTGCGGCCCAGCCAATATAACGGTATGTAAGAAACGTTTTAATAAAAATTTAATAACTTAATTTTTACAATATCTTGTTATACATAATTATTAATAACGAACTACAATGTTCACTAAAGACTGATTACAATAATCGTGTTGCATTCATGTCCCTCACTCGCCTTAAGCACAGCCACTAGTACTAGCATCGAATATTTTAGCAGCCAGTTGCCATGTCATTAGTCTTTGACTTGTTTGGTGTGCACAACAGGAAACATTTCACTTTTGGAGAACAAGAGAAATAGGTTTATTTGCGTTACGATTATTAATTTGTGCAGTTATTTAGTGTCTGGTGAGTTAATGTTCAAGAAAAAATATTAGTTTGTATTAAAATGTTCTATTTTATGTTAATGATTACTCATTTATTTCAGCCCTTTGTATTCATGTCTCTATTGAAAAAAACCTACATTTCTATGAAAATTGAAGCTTTTGTTTTTTTGCGGCCTTGTGTTAGCCTTTGAGATTGACAGGCTTGCACTAGGGAGTAGGTTCTTGATGGTTAGCTTCAGGGAGATTTTTACAAAACTGTTGTGACTGCGCACTTAAACTGAGTGACTGTTAACATTTGTAACTAAAACCTTACGAGGTGGATAAGGTTAATAGATAGCTGAAGGAGGTCTAAAGCTAATCCTTTTAGCTTCTTGCTTTTTGGGTTCTCTTCCTTCTGTTTCTACCCAAGGAGGGGGTTCATGGAAAGATCTAAACTAGTAATCAGCTCTTTCCAGCTATGAGGTCTAGAGCAAACCCCTATCAGCTGTTTCTCTATTTTGAGTCTATAAAATGGGATAGTAATTCCTGCACTGCTTGCTGTATCAGGAATGTTGTGTGTAAACATTCCTTCATTCCAGAATCCCTTCTCAGCTTGTCCAGCTCCTCCAGAAGGCCTCCATTTGGAACTGTGCTCGCTCTCGCTTCCAGGAGGCCTCCTGCAGTCTGTGTGTTCATAGCACTTTGAAGTCGGGGCTGCACTTCAGGTGTTGCATGTTGCCTGTCTTCATAGATATAAGGCAGCGATGGTCCTTTTCCTGTTTCCTGTGTCCACATTGCACCTGCTGTCTCCTGACTGACCTACAGTAAACGCTGTTTGATTTATTTTCGAGGCTGCCAGGAATGAATGCTTTTGGTGATGGGAAGATGCCAAAGAGGGGCATCTTACAAAAGCTTTGGATGACTGGTCTTTTAAGTTGTTACTTAGTACCTGTCTGTTTTATCAGTAACTGAATCAGATGCTAATAGTACAGATTGGTAAAGCCTGTGGGGTTTTTTGTTTTGTTTTTGTTCTGTTTTGTTCTCTTCAAAATACTGTTTGTGAAACAAGTCAGGAATGAAAGCTTGTCACAACAGCCCCGAATCTGACATTTGTTCTATTTCTCACCCGATGGCGTGTGGAGGCCTATCTGCAGCCAGCTGCTGAGCGTGGCATTGGAATAAAACTGACTGCGTTGTCTGGCCCACATTTTAGCTTGTTTGCTTTGAAGAATTTTTGAGGTGGAGAAATAGATGCTTCAGGCTCTGATTTCAGCCCATGCTGTGCTATGCAAATGTTCTCTACATGCCTGGCTGACCTTTTGAGAAAGAGCCTTTGTGATCTTCTTTAGCCAGGCCTGTTCTGGGAAGAGTGTGCCAGATTCCTCTAAAAGTGGGAAAAGTGAATCTGTTCAAAGACCACAGAAAGAGGCCAGTGCTTTTCCGATGAGCCCGTGCTGCTTATTGTCTCTTGTCAGAGCTCTTGAAATGAGCTTTGCTGGTTGATTGGGGAATGATGTGTGTGAGAGGGTACTGACTGAAGCAGTTCCGAAGCTGGGAGACTGCTTAAGTGATTTGGAATTGTAGGTAAATCCAAACTGGCATCATTAGTATCTGGTGTTCATCACTCACTGTCTTCAGGCTGACTCTCCCAAGTGCCAGCTGAGTGACTCAGATTTGTAAGGTTCTTTTTGTCCCAAAATTTGCTTTAATGGATTGGCATTTAAATTATTTTCTACTAGTGACCCAGTGCACGAAATTCATGCACATTAAAAGGGGATTAATTTGCCAAAACCGGTTTGGCTCAGTGGATAGAGCGTCGATCTGCGGACTGGAAGGTCCCAGGTTTGATTCTGGTCAAGGGCATGTACAGTGGTTGTGGGCACATCTCTAGTAGGGGGTGTGCAGGAGGCAGCTGGTTGATGTTTCTAGCTCTCTATCCCTCTCCCTTCCTCTCTGTAAAAAATCAATAAAATATATTTAAAAAGGGGGGGATTAATTAGAGGAAATAATTTAATATTGCTATTTGCCCTTTCTCTATAATAGAACTGTCAGAGATGGAAAAAAAAAAATTAGTAAAATGTATATGAAAACCTTCCTCCTGTCAGAGTCTGGGGTGCACCATGGGACCCAGAGTCAAGTCCCCACCCACCCACATGGGCCTCAGAATTACGTGAGACCCAGACCCGGCCGGGGCCCCCACACCCACCCTCCATTTGACTAGATCCAGATCCGGCCAGTCCCACTCTTGTCAAGCCCCGCTGGGCAGGGGGTGTAGCCTCAGGTTCCCTGGCCCAGTGCCAGGATGGGGGTGTGTGGCCTGAGGTCCCCCAGCCCATACCAGGTGGGGTGTGCATTAATGTCCCCTGCCAAGCCCCACTGCGTGGGGGGCATTGCCTGAGGTCTTCCATCAAGCCCTGCCAGGCAGGGGGCGCAGCCTCAGGTCCCCATCAAGTCCCACTGGGCAGGGGGTGTGGCCTGAGTTCCCCTGACCCAGCAGTGGGGGTGCACCTTGAGGCCCCCTGTCAAGCCCAATCAGGCAGGGGGTGCAGCCTCAGGTCCCCTGGCCTGGTGCTGGGGTAGGGGGCATGGCCGTAGGTCTCCCGTCAAGCCCCTTCGGGTGGGGGTGCAGTCTGAGGTCCCCCGACCTGGTGCTGGAGTGGGGGGCGCGGCCTGAGTCAAGCCCCATGGGGGTGGGGGAGAGCATAGCCTCGGGCCCCTGCCGAATGCTCGTTAGGCTCCTTATGGGAACTTGGCCTCAGCTGTGGGTGCAGCCATCTTTCTGACAGAGTGATGGTCAATTAGCATATTCCCTCTATTACATAGGATTTGTTTTGATTATTGTATAAATGAAACGTATCAATATTAAAAGTATACTTAGTTTTTAAAAAAATATATTTTATTGATTTTTTACAGAGAGGAAGGGAGAGAGATAGAGAGCTAGAAACGTCGATGAGAGAGAAACAACGACCAGCTGCCTCTTGCACACCCCCCACTAGGGATGTGCCCGCAACCAATGTACATGCCCTTGACCGGAATGGAACCTGGGACCTTTCAGTCTGCAGACCGATGCTCTACCACTGAGCCAAACCGGTTTCGGCATACTTAGTTTTTTTGTTTTGTTTTTTTTAAAATATATTTTTATTGATTATTTACAGAGAGGAAGGGAGAGAAACAGAGAGCCAGAAACGTCGATGAGAGAGAAACATCGACCAGCCGCCTCCTGCACACCCCCACCAGGGATGTGCCCGCAACCAACGTACATGCCCCTGACCGGAATCGAACCCGGGACCCTTCAGTCTGCAGACCGACGCTCTACCACTGAGCCAAACCGGTTTCGGCCATACTTAGTTTTTTTATGTTACGAAATACCATTCTGATGGATTTCTCTTGCAAAGTGAGACTGGTATCTTGGAGGTCTAAGGTTTTTAATGCTTTTACTGAGAAGTTTAGTTTGTATAGCTGAAATGCTGATAAAAAAGAGATTTTTCCCCCCCTCTACTTTTCTCTTAAACAACCTTTTTGGTAAGGATCATGATAGGTTTGTACAAGGATAAGGTTGTAGAGTTAATCATAATGTTCTTCCATTGAAATTCTAAACATTGAATTTCCAGAGAAGATAGGAAGAATTTGACTAATTTACTTCCTAGGCTCTTCCTTGTTCCCTGAGTATAGGATAATTCTTTCTCTGTAGAGATTAGGTGCATGTTGTGGGAAGGATAGAGCTCCCATAGAATGCTCTAAGGCAGCAATTTTCAACCTTTTTCATCTCATGGCACACAAACTAATTACAAAAATTCTCTGGAACACCAAATTTTATAGGTCAAATCTCGGTTCTCTAATGTCTCCCATCTCAAATAGTTCACTTCTTGATGAAGATGTTCATGTAAAACTTTGCTTCTCACCCTAGCTGGTTTGGCTCAGTGGGTAGAGCATCAGCCTGCGGACTGAAGGATCCCAAGTTCGATTCCTGGTCAGGGCACATGCCTGGGTTATGGACAATCCCCAGTAGGGGGCATGCAGGAGGCAGCCAATCAATGATTCTCATCATTGATGTTTTTTTCTTCTTTTTAAAAAATATATTTTATTGATTTTTTTTACAGAGAGGAAACATCGATGAGAAACTAATTTACTTCCAATAATCTAATAAACTGGGGTTGTGCCCACAACCAACGTATACATGTTTTTGACTGCAATCGAACCTGGTACCTTTCAGTCCGCAGGTCGATGCTCTATCCACTGACCCAAACCGGTTAGGCCTCATCATTGATGTTTCTCTCTCTCCCCCTCTCCCTTCCTCTCTGAAATCAATAAAAATATATATTAAAGAAACAGCAGCTTTGGCTCTCTATCCAAAAACTCTTTCATGCTGATGCCTGTGTGATCAGACACTTGTCTCTCGGTGACAAAGGAGAGAATGTGTGTGTGAGTCAGTTTACCACTAAATCGCGTGTTGTTAACATCCCAGGAAATTGTGCTGTGAAGGTTTTTGTGTTTTCCTGCTTTTTGGGGTCTGGAACGGATTAATTCAATTTACATTATTTCTAATGGGGAAAAAATGATTTCGTTTTCCAACAAATTACTCCTCAAACAGCCTTAGGGAACAAATTAAGTTAAAGAACCGAGATTCCACTGTATATTATATTTTTTGCCGATCTGACAAAAAATAGGTATAATTTAAAAATAAGTATTTTTATTGATTTTAGGGGGAGAGAAAGGGAAAGGGAGAGAGAGAGAAGCATCATTTGGCTGCATGCCCCTTACTGGGGATTGAGCCAGTAACCTGGGCATGTGCTCTGACCAGAAATCAAACTGTGATCCCCAGGTTCATAGGAATCGAACTGCATCTCTTGGTTCGTTGGCTGAGGCTCAACGACTGAGCCACACCGGCCAGACAAAATAGGTATAATTTTGATTCATTCGCACTGGATGGCTATTGTGTTGTTGTCATTTTTTTAATTTGGCAATCTAAAGGAAAAGAGGTCAGTGCCCCTGACTAAAGAGTCAGGTATTGCATATATATTTGTTAATCCTCACCTGAAGATAATTTTCCCCATTGATTTTCTTTTTTTTAGAGTGGTAGGGAAGGGAGGGGGAGAGAGATCAATTGGTTGCCTCCCACATGAGCCCTGACCAGGGCTGGGGATTGAACCTGCAACCCTTTGGTCCAAAGACTGACTCTCTAACCACTGAGCAACCAGCCAGGGCGATATTGCATGTTTTAAAAATTCTTGTAGCACCCTGGTTGAAAATCGCTGCTCTAGAGGAATGCTTTCTAGATCTTTGCTCTGTAGCAGGTTTTAATGGAGCAAAGATGAGTAGTTTTCTCATGTTTCCGCCTGCTCTGTGAAGTGGGAAAACCTTTCCTCTCTGTTTTCATGGTTACATGTGCTGTCTTGTCTTTTCTCCTCCCCAAGTTTTCCTGGAACCTGGGCTCCCCAGACGCAGCGCTGGAGCAGATGGATAATGGAGACTGGGGCTATATGGTGAGATGCTTTTGCAGATATGTTTTGAAGACTGTCAAATTCTTTTTGTACTAGATGTCTGGTGCACGAATTTGTGCACGGGTGGGGTCTGGCTGGCCCATCCTGATCGGGATGTGGGGTGGGTGGCGATTGGAGGTGGAGCCAGCCAGGGGGAGGGCCCATGTTAAACTCCCAGTTGAACGCCTGGTCGAACTCCAGTCGAGGGGATAATTTGCTTATTAGCCTTTTATTATATAGGATTTTAAAATATATATATTTTATTGATTTTTCACAGAGAGGAAGAGAGAGGGATAGAGAGCTAGAAACATCGATGAGAGACAATCATCAATCAGCTGCCTCTTGCACACCCCCTCCTGGGGATGTGCCCGCAACCAAGGTACATGCCCTTGACCGGAATCGAACCTTTCAGTCCGCAGGCCGACACTCTATCCACTGAGCCAAACCGGTTTCGGCTATATAGGATGTTTTATAGGATGTCTTTCCCCCCCTGTGTATTCTTGGGTATCATACATCTTATAAGAATGAAAATTATTGGTGTAATTCCCCTTAATTAATTTAGATGCCTTTTGGGGTGTTTGGTGTGGTGTTGGTGTTTTTATGAAAGCAAACTCAACATAGACTTCAGAGTAACTTGATTTGAGAGAGAGCATGACTTTTGGTCTTTAAAGTTTATTGCCATTAAAATACTCTTCCTTTGTAGAACTGACTATGAAAAGGGTCCAGTGGGGAATGGTACAGAGCACATTTCCTTGTGGTGGGGGAGGTTAACTGTTGAGAAGGGGCCACTTTTCCCACTCGTACTTTCCTTGTGTGTGTTTGTCTTCCTGTTTTCCTTCGGTGAGAAATACTTTACTTATCTAGTACCCGAAGTCTGTCAGTCTGTCTTTATAGTGTTTCTTAATATGATTTCTAAAACTGAAGGTATATGTTAGAGAAGTTTGCTTTTCAAAACTAAGAGCAGTTTGCAACATTAATGTTACAAAAGTGAATACACTATCAGATTCTGAAATTTGAAAGTTGCTGTTAGCTTTTGGGTATATGAGATTGTGTTGATCAAACTGTATTTTAACATAGTATTTGGCACTCTTATTGCCATAAAAAAGTTAAGGTTAGATCTGCACAGTTTTATCTTTTAAAAAAATTTCATGGTTCCCCACGCTCTTTTGAGAGAAGAGAAAAACAGAAGAAATCGTGAAAGTAGATTCTTTTCATTATCAAATCATTTTCTTGGCCTATTTTATGTCAAATTGAGTTAAGAAAAATGACTTATTTTTAAAAAAATGTTTTTTATTGACTTTTTTAGAATGAGAGGAAGGGAGAGGGAGAGAGAAACAACAAATAAATACTGCCTCCTTCACGCCCCCTACAGGGAATTAGGCCTGAAACCCGGGCATATGCCCTGACCAGGAATCTAACCAGTGACTTCTCTGTGCAGAGATGACACTCAACTAACTGAGCCACACCAGCCAGAACCGAGGTCAGCAAACTGCGTCTTGTGAGCCACATGCGGCTCTTTGGCCCCATAAGTGTGGCTCTTCCACAAAATACCACGAGTCTATTTTGAAGAAGTGGCATTAGAAGAAGTTTAAGTTTAAAAAATTTGGCTCTCAAAAGAAATTTCAATCGTTGTACCATTGATAATTGGCTCTGTTGACTAATGAGTTTGCCAATCACTGAGCCAGAATAAGTCTCTTTAAAAAAAAACAAAAAAACAAAACAAAAAAAAAAAAATATATATATATATATGTGTGTGTGTGTGTGTGTGTGTGTGTGTGTATATAATTGATTTTTTACAGATAGGAAGGGAGAGGATAGAGATAGGATAGAGAGCTAGAAACATTGATCAGCTGCCTCCTGCACCCCCACCACTGGGGATGTGTCCACAACCAAGGTACATGCCCTTGACCGGAATTGAACTTGGGACTCTTCAGTCTGCAGGCCGATGCTCTATCCACTGAGCCAAATCGGTTTCAGCACAAGTCTCTTTTTTTCAAAGCAGAGAGAAACTTAGTTTATCTTAGTTTGGCCTTTGTCTTTTTCCAATTTACTCTCACGAAACCTCTTTAGATCCCAGGGCTGACATGAAGTGGCTTTGGAAGTGATGCCCTTGTTTCTTAGGAGAAACAGTTATCCCCCATTGAAAGCCTGTTAGATCCCTGTGCCTAGGTGGGTGGTCACTGAAAGTAAAGCTGTTTTGCATAACAGGATTGCTAAGTACTTACAGTCTGAAGGAAGCTTTTGCTTAGCTTGTTGCCATTTTTCTTAATTTGTCGAAGTTAGGATTTTAAAAACTTCAGGTGACTAATCATCTTCTACAAACTTTCAGATGACTGACCCAGTCACGTTAAATGTAGGTGGACACTTGTACACAACGTCTCTCACCACACTGACCCGATACCCGGATTCCATGCTTGGAGCTATGTTTGGGGGGGACTTCCCCACGGCTCGAGACCCTCAAGGCAATTACTTCATCGATCGAGATGGACCTCTTTTCAGATATGTCCTCAACTTCTTAAGAACTTCGGAGTTGACCTTACCCCTGGATTTTAAGGAGTTTGATCTGCTTCGAAAAGAAGCAGACTTTTATCAGATTGAGCCCTTGATTCAGTGTCTCAATGACCCGAAGCCTTTGTACCCTATGGATACCTTTGAAGAAGTGGTGGAATTATCAAGTACTCGGAAGCTTTCTAAGTACTCCAATCCAGTAGCTGTCATAATTACCCAGTTAACCATCACCACCAAGGTCCATTCCTTGTTAGAAGGGATCTCAAACTATTTTACCAAGTGGAATAAGCACATGATGGACACCAGGGACTGCCAGGTCTCCTTCACCTTTGGGCCCTGTGATTATCACCAGGAAGTGTCTCTCCGGGTCCACCTGATGGAATACATCACAAAGCAGGGCTTCACGATCCGCAACACCCGGGTGCATCACATGAGCGAGCGGGCCAACGAGAACACGGTGGAGCACAACTGGACCTTCTGTAGGCTGGCCCGGAAGACGGACGACTGATCTCCATCCGGGGGAGTCCTGGACACGGACTCTGCAGGAGACGGGAGAGACTGATTTTTTTTTTTTTTTGTGGGATTTAAGAAAAGATTATTATTATTATTTTTTGGTATTTATTTGAAGGCATTGAGGAGCAGAAGGAAGTTTGTGCTTTAGTGGATTCCTCTATGTTTATTCCCTTCACCCTGAGTATGCATGTGCCTGTTCAGAGCCTCCAGATAACTTTTTTATAAAAAGAAATTTGAGAATTATTATGGTATATAATCAACCCTTAACAGAGCTTTCTTTTTTTTATTACAGTGCTAAAATGATTTCTGATTAAATGGTCCCTAACTCAACTAGAGGCTCAAAAATATAGGAATGAAAGAATAAACAGAGTGAGTACTCCTGATGCTTTTGACAAAACATCAAAACACCATGTAGGTGACCTAGTTTCCAAACCAATAAGCCGTATTGTAATATTAAAAGAAAACTGTTCCAATCATTTAAAAGTACTTGTTAAGTACTGCTTTTTACAGTTATGACAACTGTTTCTTTCTATGCATATAAATCAAGCAACCAAATATCTGTAGCCATGGAAATGTCTGACTAGAAATATTTATATTGGATTCTGAATACAAAATGGCCCTGTGGTAGGAATCTTACTTCTTATGCCTGGTGCAGTATAATCCCCAAGTGTACTGTCTACCAGAAAAAAAACTAATAAAAAGTGAAATAGAAAAATTAGGTTTATATTTATTGACTATTGTTACCTAAGGGGAAAATCGTATGTCTTGTCTCTAAAGTATGCATTGTTTGTTTTATGTACCAACATACACTGCACCACCAAAGCACGCTTGTATTTGACTCAGGAGGACTCAGCGGTACCTTCAGATGCAGTGTATAGAACTCTGCTGTGTTATTAAGCAGGACTAGATGGAAGTACAATTTGAACAGTGAACACACAGTTTGACAGATTTTTATCAAGTAGGAATTACGTTGAAGATTAAAGATTTTTGTTCAATAAGCCACCGTTGGTTATAGCTCTGAATGTGACCCTTATCCGAGCTTTGATTTGAGTCTCGGAACAAACTGACTCTTCAGCCACTTTATTCTCTTTTACAGGGGAATCTCGGTTCTCAAACTTAGTTCGTTCCAGAAGGCTAGTTGGGGAGCAGTTTGTTTGAAAACCAAATCATTTTTCCTCATTAGAAATAATGTAAATTGAATTAGTTTGTTTCAGACCACTATAAGCAAAAACACACCTGCCCAGCACAATTTCCTGTAATGTTAACTTGAGTTTTTGCCATAAACTGACCCACACTCACGCATTCTCTCCTCTGTTTGTCGCCTGAGAGACGCATGACTGATCACACAGGTATTAGCATGAAAGGGTTGTTGGGTTGGAGCCAAAGTTTTATTTGACAGCCCAGATATTCTGTAAACAGCTTGGTCGAGAACCCAATTATTCGAGATGGGAGGTGTTTCAGAACCCAGGTTTTGACCATATATGGTAACCCACAGATTATTTTATTAGTATTCAAGTTAAATCTATATCTGAAGAGAGGAAATAAGCTGCAGTGAACGGAGGATCTGGAACAGGTATGTGTATTTGTTTCTCAATCGTCTTTATTGTGCATACTTCATTCGATTCTGTTTCCTAGAAGTTACTCGCAGTTATGTTAACTATAGTGAGGGAGACTTCCTGGTTTGTTGGAATGCCTTCTAAAAGGAAGTGTGATGCCTTCCCTGTTCTGTGGGAGGAACGTTCTAGGCTGTGTGTTCTCGGGCAGGCCATTCCTTTTCCTCTGAGATCCTGCCTCTGAAAGGAGGATGAAAACACCTTCATCCGTGTTTGCCCGTGTGTCTGACAAATGGCCAACAATCACAAACCTGTAATCACCCCATTTTCACCGTCCTCAAGCTAACATTCCTTCATGTTATGGACAGGTTGCTGTGGTTTCAGTAAACGTACTAATATGAAGTTATCTTTTTAGGAAATTGTCTCCGGCTTCAGATTGCTTAGTGGTTAGCTAAGACAAAACCAAGCCAGCCACTCTTGTGATGTTAAGTTAGCTGAGGTGATCGTGAGAAAAAATGATTTGGTTTGAAAACAGGTTATGGAAAAGGGAATAGTGTTTGGCCTTTCAAGGTTTTAAAAGTTAAAAACTTTTGAGGTCTCTTCTTTGTTTAGTTTACCAGAGATAAGTTTGCTTTTGGTGAATTTTCACAAATTTGTTAGTTATTAACAAAAATGATTACTTTTATGGGTAAATTAGGAAAAATAGCTATCTGAGAGATTTTGCAATTTAATTTGGGCATTTAATTTTGAGTGTTTTATTTGCTGAGGCAACTGAAAATGTAGCTTGAGTATATTTGGGTAATTTGAGATGATTATGTCTTTTATAAGTTTTAATTTTCTATGGAAAGGTTAATTTTTTAAAATTGATACTTAAGGTAGTTGTAGTCTTAGGGCTGTACATTTTATTTAGTTTACCACAAGTATAGGCACTTTTGGAGAAGGATTGTGTGTGTGCATGTGTGTGTCCTTTTGAAGTTTAAACCCTCAGATAAATATGAGCTGTAGGCACAAATGATAACTAACGAGTCTATTGGATTTTGCTAGATCAAAAACAGAACCCTGGAACTTAACAAAATAGATGCTACAATTGTATAGTACTATTGTGTTTTATTGTAGGAAATGCCAACCATGTTGATAAGAGAATTGTTTAAACAGCATTGTACCCATTGACCAACATCCACAACTGTTCTCTTTCCTTTTTTCCCTCTCATGGATTTTGAAGTAAATCACAGATGTTTCATTCACTTTAGAAGGTCTCTCTGGAAGATAATGACTCTCTTTAAAAAATACATACACATATGCTCTTTAAAATTCTAATGCCATATCTGCCATACTACCATTATCACATAGTGGTGCTTCTTGAATGCTGTTGATTATTTCATAGCTTGGATCTCCAACTTTGTAAGAGTGGTCTTAGATATTTCTGGTAGGCAGGGTTCCCCTGTTATAGAAAGAAGTGCATTAGTCATACAGAATATTTCTGCTAGGATTAATAACTTTTCAAATTAATTTTTTTGTTTCAAAATCAACATTATGTAAGATTAATTTTAAAAATTATTTTAAAAATTCATTTTGTGTGAACATATGGAGAAACATTTTTTTCCCAAAGGGCATCCTTCATTTTCTCCAGCAGATTTTATTTATTTATTTATTTGTTTATTTGTTTATTTTATTTTATTTTTTTGATTAAGCATGCTAGAATTTATTACAGATTCGAATCTGGACTCAAACCATGGCTGACGCAGCAGCCGGTAAACACCCAGGTAAGAGCCCTGATGGAGGGGCAGTCCCTCCAGAGCGCTCACACAAAAACACAGACAAACACACACCTACCGCGGCCAGTCAGGCTCTTCGGAATGGGGGTCCCTCATGGTCCTGGCTGGGGATTCCAGTCATGATCCCCAAGGACCACCAGGGAGCCGAGTCCGATGCAATAAACAAAAGAGCCATCTCCATGCTAGCATGGGCCCTGTCCCACTCACGCCGGCAGCATGGCGGAAGAGCTCTCCAGCAGATTTTAAATTGTGGGTGCAGGTGGCCAATTAAAAGACACAGTTATCATTTGCTGCTAGAATTTAACACAAAAGTCTCAGCTCTCTGAGGCTCTTTGAGATGGGACATTAACCGTAAAAGAATCAGAAGGTGGAATCAGGTAAGCAATGTAATACGTCACAATGGCCTCTCCCTACTATTTTCTGATGTTTTGATTTGTTCCTTCACAGCTCTCTTCTCATCCCTGTAACATCTACTTGTGTCTTTTTTGCCTGTCCAGGTTAAGCTGTAAGTCCCTTGAATGACTCTTAATCTTCGATGTGTCCTTAGTACCTAGAATAGTTTCTGGCATATAGTGTATGTTCAGCTGAATGATTGGATTAATCAGTAGGTGTGTTTAAGGCATCTAGCAACTACTTGGGCAGACTTTTACAATAGAATTGGGGGAAATAGGATTCTTGTTGTGAAATTATTCCCCAGTGTTTCCTCCGCTGCTTGCATCTGTAGGGAATCACTGATATGAGTTCATGTGGGGAGGGGCAGCAGCCTTTTGCTGCTCACTTTGGAAAGGCTGGCTTGAAATGACCAGATCAGGGGGGAAAAAAGCCAAAAAATTAGACATCCCGGCTCAAATAAGCCTCGGAGAGCAGATCACAGTCTCCGCATGAAGCTCAACACCCACCTGCCCAGACAGAAGAGAGACTAGCTGAGGCCTCTAAGACACTTAGCACCTTTCTATTAGTAGAAAATGTCAGTGAAATATGTTCTCATTTGTCTGCAAGGTTTGTTTTTACATAGCTGTTGTTTTAGTTCATTTGAAATTCCCGGAGTGAACCCTTTTCCACAGTGCCAATGAAAACCGCCTCTTCTCGCAGTTTCAAAATTATCTACAGCAGATTAAAAAATTACACCTTAGAAGTGCCGTTTTGCTGCTCTCTAGAGGAGCCAGAAATGTAAGATGATATGGCTGTATATTAGCAGTCAACCGGTATCATTTTAACTAATTGGAAGCTGTTCTCCAACATCATTTATAATCTCAGTTCCTAAACTGCTTGCTGCACCTGTCACCTTTTTAGCAGCGTAAGTGAAGCCAGGATGGCAACAGTGTGCAGCACTGTGGGTGCAGCAGGCTCCTTCGTCTCCCTGTGGGTCATAAAACCACGTTAATTATTCCGTAAATGCAGTGTCTGCTGTGTGATAGGTCCTGGAGTTAGGAAGGTGAAGACTCCATCCTTGTTCACAGTGAACTGGCAGGTGACAGAAAAGGGAAAGGAATGGGATGAAGTGCATCAACTTTTTTTAAGGACATCGTTTTTTAAATATATTTTTATTTCAGAGAGGGGGAGAGAGAATCATCAATGATTCTGCACCTCTTGCCCTTACTGGGGATCAGGCCTACAACCTGGACACAAGCCCTGACTGGGAATCGAACCTTGACCTCGTTCATAAATTGTCGCTCAACCACGGAGCTACGCCAGCCGGGCTTATCAAGTCTGTTGATGCTGTGGGTTGGTCATGCCCCTCATTTAGATAAGCCTGTCCTCATGTAATATCCAGATTAGATTCTTTTAGAAATAATAAGAAAGCCCCCTCTGTGCTTTAGTGACGTGGAGTCAGGAGAACTGGCATGTTTCCTTGTTGCTAGTAAAACAGGTTTGAGGAGGTGACATCATCATCTGACAGGTGTCACAGCGGGGCAGGCTTTCCCCGAGCACAGAGGGCATGCACGTATGCTGAGGCCGCAGGAGCTGTTCTGGAGTGGGAGGACTGCTGCAGGTTTACGCCGGGATTTAAGTATCAGTAAGTAGACCTAAGCATTAGAAGTAAAACACTAGCATAGTTAACTATCCTAAGCAGTGACTGTATCACACCTTCGGTAGCAGGTTGTTTGTATTGATATTTCCTCGTTGGGTTAAAAGGATGCCTTCCTAGAGTCAAAGAAGGACCAAAATGGATCGGCCTTCTCACTGACAACCATTTGGGGGGTAACGGTTGTGTTATAACTTGAGGCAATCACATTAAATCAAGCTATGAGGAATGATAGGATGCATACTGTTAAGGGCAAGTCTGACACTCTGATAAGTGTGAATGGAAGCCTGAGAGTTGCCAGTCTGATGAGGTGTTAAGAGACCTTTTCTGAAATTTGACCTAAGAGGTAAAGGAGTAGGCTTCACCATCTGAAAATCATGTTCACATGATAGAACTTAAAACAATCTGTTGTGCATGTAGAGACTGTCTTTGCTTTTATAAAATCTGTATCAAATCTGCTATTAAATGTTGGTCCCCCAGATTCTAAGTACAGGGTTTATTTCTTTACTCCAGTTAATGGTGCTCATTGGACTGTGTAACTCTTCCCAGTTCCCAGTGAGGCTCCTGACTTAGGGCGCTAGTGTTCTCTCCTAGGACTGACTGCTGGGAATCCTCCTCGGAACCCTTGCATTTGACATTTGTAGGGCTTCCTCGCTGCTGATGGCAGTGCCTGCAGCAGTTTTCTGTGTTTCTGGGATTGTGTTCCTTAAAGTGAGGAGGAGGGAGGTAAGACTGGCAGGCAGTCTTACCTCCAACCCCGCCCATCCGAGCTCCCTATCACCTCTAAGAGGACCCGCTTTTATCAACACGGAACTGAGAGGTGAGAGGCTGAAAACAAGGTGGGTGTGACTTATTTTTGTTACTTAAAAGCCAGCGTGTATGCCCTAGGGTGTGTCATGCTGTGATTGAGAGCTTGGGTCCTCCTAATTTCCTTATCAAATTCTGAGCGGTGCTTTTTGCTGATTACAGTCCAGACTCAGAGTTCCTGCCAGGCCACAGCTCCTGGTTTCTTTTGTGTAGTCTCAAAATATTTTAAACAGACATGCTATGGCAAGTGATTTCTAACCTAATGGGAATCAGCTTAAATGGGAAAACATTGGAGGTGCATTCACTGCTTGTTCTCTGCTCTCCTCCATAATTTGTGTTCTGCTTAACTACCTGAGTGTTGGTCGGTGACTTCTGAGCCCAGTAGAACAGGCGTTCATAGACATTTCCATCGTAACAGCCAAGTGCTGAATTCAAACACTGATCCGTGAAGTCGAAAGCATCTGTTAACGAGATGGCATCCTTCCTGAGGAAAAAAAAACAGGCGTTTGTGAGTATTTCAGACTGCTGGTGAATCTGATTACTCTGGCATGGTGAGCAACAATACCTAATTAGAGGTTGCATTATTATTCACCTTCGAACAAGTCAGCTTTAATTTTTTCCCGAAGTTTTATATTTGATCAATTATATATGCATGGCATAAAGAATCAGTTCTTTGAGGATATTGAAAATGAGCATAGCCTGCTCTCTCACCTCCATTTCCTACCCCAACCCCCATTCCCACCCAGAGCAATCTATTTCAGTCTTTTAAGTGATATTTTTGGTTTTAACCTGGATGTCTCTAAGTTACTTGTTTATATCTCTGTTTCTTGCTGCTTTACTTGTAGACATTATCTGTTGACTCCATTACGACAGATGAGGGTTTACTTTTAGGACCCTTCTGACCCCTACCCATCATCCCCCACCCCAGCCTATGCTTCCTCCTCTTCACCTTCCTGCCTCCCAATATAGCTACGATTCTGGCCAGACTAATACTCAGTGTTTGAAGTAGTCCTATATATGATTATGACTGTGTAGATCCTGTTCACAGCCGAGCCAGGTCCCCACCGCAGCTCCCTGTTGCCTTCACCTACCTCCAGGCTCACTGTCCCCTCTCCCACTCTGCTGTCGTCTATTCTTAGTGATGTCACTGTCTGTGCAGGTGTTCCTCTAAAGCTCAGCTCCTCGGTTCTTCGAATCTCCTGCTCCACTGACCTCGTTCTACAGCCTTCCCCTGTCGTCTTTCTGCGATCAGACTCCCGGACTCCTCATTAGCATCTGCACCTTCTCCGTCATCTCAGCCCTGTTTCCTTCTGCCCGTCTTTCTAGCTTACTCCCTTTCGTATTCTGACTTCCAGCTTTCATTTTCCCTTTCAAGCAACAAACTTTTATTTTAATCCTATTGAATGAAATAGTTTTAAAAAACATTCACACACTTTCCTACCATTGTAGCATTGTAGCAAAGGATGTAAAACACAATATGCGATTATTTGTTTAAACTCTTCCCTGACTCTTGTTTCAAAAAGCATCTGAGATGACTGGGATACTGGACCTATTTTAATTCTTTCTGGATGACCCGATGTCATCATCATGAGGTGATTTCATGTAGGGCTGTTTATAATTCTGTGACCCCACTGGCACCTACCAGTAGGTCCCTCATCCCCCTTGTGGTCTCACTTTTCTCCTTATCCCACTGAAATTTCGTGGCTTGTCAATGTTACCTCCTCAAAAATATATTCAACAATTCTTCTTGCCTTGCCATCCCTGGCAAAATCCCATCCCTGGTTATCTTTAATTTTCTTTTTTTTTTCTTCCATTTTTTTTATTAAGGTATTATATGTGTACATATATAATATAATACCACCCCACTCCCATACATGTCCTCACCCCCCAGAGTTCTGTGTCCATTGGTTATGCTTGTATGCATGTACACAAGTCTTTCGGTTGTTCTCTTATCTCCCCCACCTCCCCCTAACCTTCCCACTGTAATTTGACAGTTTGTTCGATGCTTTACTGTCTCTGTATTTTTTTGTTCAACAGTTTATGATTTTCTTTATTATCCATAAATGAGTGAGATCATGTGGTATTTTTCTTTCATTGACTGGCTTATTTCACTTAGCATGTTGTTCTCCAATTCCATCCAGGTTGCTGCAAATAGTAGGAATTCCCTCTTTTTTATGGCAGCATAGTATTCCACTGTGTAGATGTCCCATAGTTTTCTGATCCACTCATCTGCTGATGGGTACCTAGGCTGTTTACAAATCTTAGCTATGGTGAATTGTGCTGCTATGAACATAGGGGGATATATATATATCCTTTCTTATTGGTGCTTCCAGTTTCTTAGGATATCTTTAATTTTCCACAGACTTTGTGCCACCACCTTTGTAGCTATGGCTGGAAAAACCAATGCTGACTGTAGTCATAGGGTTCATAGGGGTCCTTATGATTGCCCAACCATCCTATTGCATTGCTCTGATTCATTTATTTTTTTATTCCTTTAGGTGATGTTTCACACTTCGTTTTCTGTCCTCAAACCTACATTCTCCACTTCCTCATCTCTTTTACCTAAATCACTTTCTATTCGACAGATACAGTAAAAGTGGTGAGAGCATTTCCACAAGTTCCCACCCGTGCATTTATCCACACAGTGCTCTTCTCTTCATAGTACAGGTCAGCCGCCCAGGCTCCCTCCTGAGGCCTGCCCATCCTTGTCTACTAGGGAACAGTGTTCCAGAAATTCTGCCTTTCCCCTACAGCACCCACACTCCCCTCTTACTGGATCGTTTCCCTCAGCATCCAAACCTGCTGCCAGTTCTCCCAGCTCAACAGTAAGCCTTTGACTCCTCCCGCACCGCCCTCTGCCCCATGTCCTGGCTCCTCTTTATGACATTCCTTAAACTGCTATGCTCTCTCCTGCCTGGCCTTTCCACTCCTCTCTGCTGTTCTTGGGCTAGATCCGTACAGGTTCCCACTCCCACCACCCCACTGACGAATCTCTGGTCAGGGTCACCCGGCATCACCTTTGGAGGGGCCCAGGACTCGGTGTTCGGGCTTCTTCCCTTCATACTCATCCTATGGTATCATCCTTCTCATGCTTTACATACCAGCCATAGGCCAGTGACGTCCACATTTCTCCCTCCTGTCTTACTTGCCTGCTTACTAACGTTGTACTTGATTTCTAACGGGATCTTTAAGCGTTCAAAACCAAATCCTGAGCTTCCTTCTCCTGTCTAACCTGCCCAAACCTGCCCTCCTATAATCTTTCCCATTTATGCTAAATGACAACTCTATCCCAGCCAAAAACCTGAACTCCTCTCTGCTTATGCCACCCCATATCTAACCTGTCAGCAAGTCCTGTTTTATCTTCAAAATATATTCCAACTCTATTCCCACTACCTCCACTGCTGTCACCTGGTCCAGTCCACTGCCATCTCCCACCGGGATTATTGCAGCAGCCTCCTAACCAGCCTCCCTGCTTCGCACCCTTGTCTTGTTCCCCTCAGTTCTTAGTCTGGCCGCTGGAGTGACCCTTCGCTCTGTGCTATGCCCAAACCCGTCCGTTCTCACGCTAAGTAAGGCAGAGTCTTAAGTCTTTGCAGTGATCCACCCCCCTCCCTATCCCCTCCCAGTACACCTTAACTTTCCCACCTCTGCTCTCACCCCCGCCTCAGTCAGGCCCCTCCAGCCCGTTCTCCGGACGGATGTGCCAAGCACACTCTGGCCTCCACCATTTCTACTTCTCCGCTTAGAATGCTCTTCCCAGCCAACCGCATGGTTCCTCTCACCTGCCCCTTCAGAGGATTCCTCAAACGTCACCCTCCCTGGGTGGCCTTTGACCTACTTACAAGTATAGTCTCTTCCCCCCCCCCCCCCCCCCCCAGGACTGCTAGCCCCTTTTCCGGTAGCATTCAGCACTGTTCCGCACACTGTCTTTGATTTGTATTTTATGTCTGTGTTTGTCTCCTCTTCTCTAGGCTGCAAGCTTTTGTGCCCCTTTCAATCTGAAACTCATATCCTCAATCGAGGAGTATCTTCTTTAAGCATTTTATTAATTATCTGCTCCCTTCTCTTTTCTCTGTCTTCTCTTTCTCAACCTTTTTTTCAGACACTTTTATTTTTTTCTATTTTTGTCTTTTTGTTTTCTGAGGTTTCTGCAATTTTACCTTTTCAGTCCTTCATTGAGTTTTTCATTTCCAATCTCATTTTTTAATTTCATAGAGTTCTTGTTTTTTGTTCTGTTACTTTTTAAGAAATGAAATTCTTATTTTATGGTCACAATATCTCCTCTTAACTCTTTGAAGGAATCACTGATCTTTTTTTGACATTAATATGTTTTGTTTTATATAATTATTTTTAAAATTAGTTGACATACAGCATTGCTTCATGTGTACAATGTAGTGATTAGATATTTAACATATGAAGTGATCACCCTGTTAAGTCTAGTACCATCTGACACTGTCATAGTTATTACAGTATCATTTTTATTATTATAAATCTCTCTTAAGTTACTGATTTTTAAAAAAAACGTTTTCTTCTCTCTGAAGATTCTCTTGTCTCTCAGGTTGCCTCATTCTTGCTTACTTTGGTAAGGGGTTCTCCTCAGGTGTCCGGTGATCCCTGAGTGTCTGGTCATAGCTAAGAGTGGGGCATGAACTAGCTGGTTAGAAGTCTAGTTGTGCTTGTCGGTTTGGGGTGAATTGGGGACCCTGGGCTGGTCAGATTCTCCAGGGGAGGATCATGTTACATCTTCCTGCAAGGACCTAGCCGGGCTGCCCCTCTGGGAACCCTGGGAGGGGCTCACAGCACTTGGCCAGTAAATGTGCCCTGAGGGCAGCCTCACCCCAGCTGTTTACCTTCTGCAGAGCCTGAAAACTGGAGGCAGCGGCAAACTGGGGACTCGGCTCTTTCTGAAACAGACTTTCAACCCATCCTAGCAGTCAACTTGACCCCCACTGCCAGAGGCACATGGTCCTCCCGTTCTCTGGGGTAATGTGGTTGCTTTTCCCACGTGTAGGGAATGATTCACTTTTCTCAGGTCTGCTAAGTCACTGTTTGTTCAACTTCCAGTTCTCATGTTTCTCTTCTCAGTGTTCTTTTTCTGCACAGGATTATGCCTTTTTAAACATTTTAACCCTTTGCTGATATTTCAGTGAGGCTTCAGGGGGAACAAAGTAAATGCGTAAGTTCAGTCTGCCGTCTTTACCTGGAAGTCCCCCCCAGCTGAGATTTTATGATCGTTCCAATAAAAACTATTTGGGTCAGTTAACTACCGTTACATAGAGAGCTGTTTTTTAGTGTCGCTTAGAATAATGTGCCATCCTTCGTTTGTCGTGCCATCCTTCGTTTGTCATCTCAGAAATCTGAGGGTGACACTGAATAGTCAAGGCTCGGATTGTGTCACAGAACTGTTAAAAACATGGAATCTAACATACCTATCATCCTGCTGCAGGAGGAAGATTACTTAGGAACCATAATGTGAGTAAATCAGTTTGTGGGCTTGATGCCCGGGCTGTTTTGTCTTGCCTTGTACATTTCTAGAGTCAAGTCAAGCACTTAGAAATGCTGTTGCTGATAAAAATCATGCTTATGAGGTGGTAAGGTGATCTTTTGTGTCTCATCATCACTGTCAGGGCTACAACATTATTGTCGTCATGTGCTTTTAAAATGCCAAGCTTTTTTTGTAATTATTAATATATTTTATTGATTTTTTACAGAGAGAGGGATAGAGAGTTAGAAACATCGATGAGAGAGAATCATCAATCAGCTGCCTCTTGTGCACCCCCTACTGGGGATGTGCCCGCAACCAAGGTACATGCCCTTGACCGGAATCGAACCTGGGACCTTTCAGTCCGCAGGCCGACACTCTATCCACTGAGCCAAACTGGTTTCGGCTGCCAAGCTTTTTTAAAAGTTAGATATACTTAGGCTTAAACAATGCAGTACTCAGTTATGCTATTAATGGTTTCTATCACTGGATTCCCAATTATATTAGGAAAAGGTTAATACCTGAGGAATAATTATATCAAATATATTTTTGATGGTTTAATTGAACACTCTCTAACCACCAACTATCTGTGAGGTGCTTATGTGGAGGTATAATAAATGATATGCAACTTATTGCAAATAAAATAATTTGGTCTAGTTTTTTCTTTTAACCTCAATTATGAAATATATATATATATATTAATTTCTCTTAGTCTTATTGATAATGTGAACTCTTGTGGTAGAAGTTACACACCCGTGTGTATAACCTCCCCCCAGTACTACAGGCATTGTATGTTCTCAAGTTAGCCCATTTTCCATGTTGTGAACAATGGTACTAATTTGTATTTTTTAAAATATTGATTTCAGAGAGGAAGGGAGTGATAGACACATCGATGATGAGAATCATTGATTGGATGATCAATCCTGCAATTGGATGATCAATCCATGTGCCCTGACCAGGAATTGAACCCTGACCTCCCGTTTCATAGGTTGACACTCAGCTACGGAGCTATGCTGGCCGGGCCATTGGTTTGTTGTTTCACTTATTTATGCATTCATTGGTTGTTCCTTTTATGTACCCTGACCAGGGATCAAACCCACAACTTTGATGTATCAGGACAATGCTCTTACCCAGTGGTCAGCAAACTGCGGCTCTCGAGCCACTCTGTTGACTAATTAATGAGTTTGCTGACCACTGGGAGAGGGGGTTAATCACAAGGAACAATAACAGCCTGTAATTATTGGAATTGAGAGTCTAGGTCAGTGGTTGCAAACTCATTAGTCAACAGAGCGGTTCTCGAGCCGCAGTTTGCTGACCACTGCTCTAACCAACTGAACTACCCAGCCAGGGCAGTTTTGATATAGTTTTAAATCATGGCATCAGTATGTCGTAACCCTAAACTGCACTGCGTTAATGTTGCATTTAAAAACTATTTGTGTTATTGTTTTGCAAATGTGTATATGAATTACTAGGTTTTAAAAAAATTTCCTCTTGAAGCTAAGGAAGGATTAAAATAAAATTAGTCAACTTAGTAAGAGTTTGCTTAGGCACATTGAACAAAGACAAGGATATAGGATTTGAAATAAACAAGAGCCCAACCTTAACATACAGCTTATCACATGGCGGGCAGATCACAAGCATCCTGTGTTCATATCACACAGTGTTTTACATAAATGCTAAAGCACGCCTTAAAATTAAATACCCATTGCATTTTGAAGTTATTTATTCCATGTTCTTACAAGCTACTGCCTTTTTAAAGTATGATACTTTGTGAAACTTTTTTGTACTCATTCAATAGAAACTTCTCTGGCCACTGGGTAAAGCTAGCAATAAAACTACTGGTGTGCAGTGTGTTAAGAGCTCACACTCCGGGGTCAGACAGGCCCCAGGCTGGACCCGGCTCCTCCCCTGGCTCATGACGTGACCTTGGGCAAAGTACTTAACTGCTAAGCCTGGATTTCCTCCCCAGTGAAGTGGAGAGAGGAATACCAGTATCCACTTGAAAAGGCTGTAAGCCTTCACTGAAGTGATGTATGTAACAGCTTCTGGCCTGGTGCCTGGCACACGTAAGTGCTCATTAAATATTAGCTATGACTAGGACTCATTATCGTCAATACATATTCATATGTAATAGGCTTCATTTTACTCAGATTACTTAGATACTATTCCTATTTCCTTGATGGTGGTGAAGAGTTCATTTGAGATAGCTGGATAAAGATTCTTAGGCATCTTTATTTGCTTTTAATTAATCCATAATGCTTTCTGTTGGCGTGATAACGCTTGGGTGTAAACCTCTCCAGGGCTGTGGCTGCTTTGTCAGACCCCCGTTTAACAAGGTTTTGGAGCTTGACGTGAACAAAGGGTGAAGGGTATTTCCTGAGGACTACCTCGGTGTGAGGGCCAGCACTCACCGGATGAGGAAGAGCAGGTCCAGGTAGGCTGTTCTCACCATGTCCACTTGAGCCCCGGACAGGAAGCCGTCATGGAGAAAGTCTCCCGCGGCAGACAGGATGCCATGCAAAGCGAAGAGGTCACAGAGGCGCTGGAGTGCCTGCTGAATGGCCGGCTCCTTGTCGAGTCTCTGCAGAGCTTCTGCAAAGCTCTTCACAGTGACGTAGTAGCAGTGCGCCTGCAAAGAACAAGGTGCATTAGCCTCCGTTTCTGGCTCCAGATGATCCTGGAAATGAGCCTGCTGAGCGTGTTTCCCAGCAGGCTCACACGCAGCTGCCTTTCTCCTGGCTCACTGTGGTCCTCTTGAGCCCTTCTGATGTAGTGTGTGTGTGGTGGGGGCTGGTGGCCTTTAGTTTTCTCATTTTGCTTGGCACAATTTATTTTATTTTGATTTCGGAGAAGGGAGAGAGAGAACCATGGATTGGCTGCCTCTTGCCCGCCCCACACTGGGGACCCAGGCTGTGACCTGCTGGGAATCAAACCGTGATCTCCTGGTTCATAGGTTGACACTCAGCCACTAGGCCACACCAAGCCGGGTTGCTTGGGGCAATTTCAAGTAGGTGTGAAAGTAGAAAGTACAGGAGAATCGGAGGCTGGCCTGGGGACCTGGAGGACACCACTTGTCTCAGGAAAACAGTATTTATTGTCTGCACGTTCAGAGCAGTGGGAGATGTGTGCTGTGGGAGAGAAAGGAAGGGTTCAGTATGTCCATGAAATTTATCCCAGCTAGAGAGGCAACTCCTTGAGATAAGCAGTGCTGTGATTTAGCCCAGCGGTCGCCAGCTGGTGGTCTGCGAGGTCCGAAAGGTTGGCGACCGCTGACTTAGCCCTTAAGCAGTAGTCTGGCTCTGTTAGTAGCTAAAATAACCAGTTGGTAAGTGCCCACTGACCTCAACCAGGTGAGAGCCCCCTCTGCCAGCCAGGCTCCTCCACCACAGCCCAGCAGCTAAAGCATCAGTGCCTGCTCTCAGGACTGCTTTCCCTGAAATCCTTTCGGACTGGTTGGTGTCCCTGCCCTACTCTCCCAAGACATATACAACCGATTTACCTGGTAGGATGTGAGTTCCGTGAGCAGAAAGGAGAGCATGCCCGGCCCATGTGGCTCAGTTGGTTGAGTGTCAGTCTCATGCCAATGGGTTCGATTCCAGTCAGGGCACATGCCTGGGTTGTGGGCTCGATCTCCCAGAAGGGGGCGTGCAGGAGGCAGCCAATCTGATGTTTCTCTCTCAATGTTTTTCTCTCTCGCTCCCTCTGAAGTCAGTAAACATATACTTAAACAAATAAAACAGGCCTCACATGTTTATTTGCGTACAGATTACCTGGAGTGACTGGAGGGTTCAGAGGGGTTTACCCGCGGGAAAAGGCACGGGCCATCCTTTCAGGAGGCAGCAATGTAACCTGACTGAGCGGCAGGCACTGAGCGGCCCTCCGGTGATAAAGGCTGTGAGTGGCAGGTGGGGATTTATTCTGTGGGGGTCAGGCCAGAGATCTGGGCAGGTTTTTCACGTGGAAGACTGCCTTTCCCAGAGCGGCCTCACAGGGGTGCTAATGACACCGGGATCTGTGCTCGCAGCCCCGCTGGTTGGCAACATTTGGATGTGGAAGAGGAGCGGGCTGCCGGCTCCCACAGCCCCTGCTGCTCAAACGACCCAGTTTGGCAAAACCACTTACTTTTTTCATCTAGGGCCCGTTCCCTGTTCTAACGGAGGGCCACGCCCCGAAGTTCTCAGGGCCCGGGCTGAGGAAGGAGTGATGCAGAGGCACCTGCTGGGCCGTGGAGCAGGGGCCTGGCTGGCAGAGGTCAGTGGTCTCTTACGAACTCCCCAAGAGCCCCCTGGGGAACCAGGGAGAGAAGGCGGCCTCCAGGCTTCGGGGAAGGCTGAGGGGCCTGGGCACCGTGCTCTGAACTCGGTGAACTTGCTTAACTCTGCAGTAAGCTGGTTTAAATCTTGCCTCCTGGCTAATTTAGGAGGTGAGTGGAGGAATCTGTACACTAGGCACCTCTCTAACTTTTCCATGCATTAAGTCACCTAATCTTCATAGTAATCTCCCAAGGCAGGTACTATTATCAGCTCCATTATGCAAATGAGGAGACTGAGGCCTGGAGAGGTATGTTGCTTGCCCAAGGTCACATGGCTGGTAAGTGGTAGCAAGGAGATCCAAACCGGAACACTCACCTCCCAGTTAACACGTTAAGTGCCAGCCTGTTTTGTCTTCCGGACGGAAAGTATAGTGTCAGCCACCGGTGACTGACTGGGCACTTAACGTGTTAAGAGTGTACTCATTATACACAATAAAGTTAATTTGTTTTCCAGTTACAGCAGAATACATTAGTTTCAGGTATACAACACAGTGGTCAGACATGTATATATGCTATGAAGTGATCACCCCAGTAAGTCTAGTACCCATCGGACACACGAATAGTTATTACAATATTACTGACTTACACTACCTATGCTATACTTCACGTCCCATCTAGTCTTTTTTTTTTTTTTTAATTCCTCACCCTAGGATATTTTCCCATTGATTTCTAGGGAGAGAGAGGGAAAGAGAAATACCGAAGTGAGAGAAATAACATCAATTGGTTGCCTCCTGCACAAGCCCTTGACCAGGGGCCAGACGGGGAGAAGCCTGCAACTGAGGTTCATGCCCTTGAGCAGAAGCGAGCCCAGGATCCTTCGGTCTGCAGGCCGGTGCTCTCTCCACTGAGCCAGGCCAGCTAGGGCTAGTCTGTGCTTTACCCGCTGCCCTGTGTTGCCAAAGCCACCAGGGACTGAGTGCCAGCATTTGCCTCAGGTTCCTGGGGAGACATCTCTGCCGGGCAGGACTGAATGATAGGGTCAGAGCCCATCGGACCTCAAGGGCTCCGATATGCCCCCTGGTTATCCAGGCAGGAGAGGGAGAGCCCAGAGGGGGGGGGACCGCCTGAGGGCGCACACACTGCTCCTTGGTGTCCACCCCCTGCCACTGTTCCCTGCGCCTCCTGTGCTCTCCCTCTCTCTCCGCACACTGACGGTTTCCAGAGGGTACACTGTGGGGCTTGATGGCCTCCCAAACCACAGAGCCCAGAAAGTGCAGACTTCCTGCCCATTATGGCTTTGGAGACTGGGCAGAACCTCCCAGGAAGCCCTGCGCCGGTTGAGCTCACCCTTGCAACCCCCAGAACCTGGGGCTCACCCCCTTCACTAATGCGCAGCGGCTCCCTGGGGGAAAAGCATCTTAACTAGCCGTTTCCTGCCTCTGGGACTAACGCCCCCGAGCCCTCTGCCCACGTCCGTGGAACAGAGATCATGCTGCTCCCGCTCCCAGGGTTGTGCGCGAGAACTGAGGTCGCCCTGGCACTCAGTCCATGGAAGGCAGGACATGGGTGTGGAATTGGACGGCTGTGGTTTTTATGGCCGGCTGGCAAGAGCACAGCCTGGGCTCGCTCACCTCTGTTGATAGCACATTGAGGAGAACCGGGTGGCAGCCTTAGCACCGCGCCTGCCAGTGACAGAGGTGGCGGTCACCAGGTGGCGCTCACGTCCAGCCTGCCCGACCAGCTGCCCTGTGATGCCCCTGCCGTCTCCTCCCGAGCTCTGGTTTTACGGCTGCCGTTTCTGGGCCTGATGGCTGGTGATTGAAATAATCCCTTTGATTTTCTATCTGCCTACGCTGGAGCTCATTTTTATTTTCTTTTATCCCCTCTGCCAAGTTCTCTCAGCCCTCACCCAGACTCCTACTGCCTGCTTCTAACTCGCCTCTAGCCTGCAGTCCATCCCTCCCCCTGCAGCCTGAACAATCCTTCTAGAATGAAACTGACTAGTTCACTCCATCTCCATCCAAACGCTGCAGTCTTCTCACTGCATGCAAACAGCCCAAACTTCTCACAATGGCGGCGCAGAAGGTCCCAGGCCCTGCCTCTGTCCTCGTCCCCACTTTCTCCCTCTCCTCGTTTCAGTCCTCTTCCTTTCGCTCCTCCTCGGGGCGAATTTGCTTTCCTCCCAATCACCACACCTTTTCTTGCCGCCTCCTCTTGCACCTGCTGTTCCCTCTGCCCGGAAACCTTCCTCTCCAGAGCCACAGCCTCCCCTCTGCCTGGCTGATTCCGGCTCATCCTTGATGTCTCGGCCTATGTACCTCCTCTGGGCAGCCTTGTGGACTCTGCGGGGTGGGAGAGACGCACCTGCCCGGGTCCTGTCAGCCCGCATCTCCCCATCACAGCACTTCCCGGGCTGCCGCTGCGACCGGACACTGCTGAGCCCCCGGACCCAGCCTGATGCCCGCTGTTCGGCGGGTGCTCAAATATTTGCTGGCTGACTGAATTATGCACCAACACAAATTCAACCAGACTTCTAGGGTTTGCCTGCGGGACTGACAGGGAGGCTTGGCCTGCTTTTCTGTCTGGGAGGACATATTTAAGCAACCTGAAGCAAATCCAATAACACTGCCTCATTATGTTTTCCCTAAGAGCTGCCAACAAGACTGCTCCGGAGTTAAGCCTCTAATTAAAAATACCTGGGACTGAAGTCTTGGGAGAGGACTGAGGGCACCCACCGGCAGGGCGGGGGGCGGGGGCAGCAGGCAGGCCTTTCCGCTCCCGCGGAGCGCAGCTCACCTTGGCCGCCTGGAGGTGGATGACGGTGGTCTGGTTCCAGGCCTCGTGCTCCTCGGCCCCGGACTGCATCTGTGTCTGCAGCTGATGCGCCGAGTCCCTGATGAGCCTGGGGCCAAAGAGAGGAGTTCAGCGTGACCGCGTGGGAGAGAGACGGGCCGTGCGCAGTCCCTCAGAAGGAGAAATAAGCCCCGTTTTAACCACTGTGTGTTGCAAAGCTAAACGCTCCATGTACATGACCTCTTCAGCTCTTCCCAAGGCAGGCATGCCCAGTCGACGGTGGGGAAAACTGAATCCCAGGAGAGCTTAACTAACCGGCCCAGGGTCACACTTGGCACGACATGCAGCTGATCGTAACCTCAGAGCTGTGAGCAGACTCCGTCCGGGTCTGCAGGCCATTCTGTTCATTCCTGCAGCCGAGCCAGGGGAATGGCTTTTCTCTAACGGCTAATGAGGTCTGCACGTCACCTGGCCGCCCCAAGTTCTGTCTAAGGGACCTTAACATAAAAGAAAGCTAACCCTTGCCGAAACCGGTTTGACTCAATGGATAGAGTGTCGGCCTGCGGACTGAAGGGTCCCGGGTTCGATTCCGGTCAAGGGCATGTACTTGGTTGTGGGCACATCCCCAGTGGGGGGGGTGCAAGAGGCAGCTGATCAATGACTCATCGATGTTTCTAGCTCTCTCTCTTCCTCTCTGTACAAAATAAAATATATTAAAAAAAAGAAAGCTAACCCTTGTCCTCCAAAACACTAAAACGGTCATTTGCCATTTGCTTAACCTTTATTCTATTTTCTGTTCCTGCTCATCTCATGACCCTTAGCATTTGTAGGCAAAGCAAACTGTTTATTAAGCAATATTTACTTTACTTTTTCAGGGAATCAGTAAGCAGATGTCACGTTGAATCCCAAGCAAAAAGCAATATAAAGGCACTTAATTACCTTCATTACCCTGAGCACCCTGATGTGGCCCTCCCCCTCCCCCGCACTGAAATGGCAGCTCCCTGAGGCCTGGGCTGCTTATGGGACTAGGTTGTCAATAGGTCTTGAGTGCCGAGAACAGTGCCTGGCATATTGTAGGCACTCACTAAATAAATATTTGTGGAATAAGTAACGTCCTAAGATGCCTGTAACCTTGACATAACTATTAACACCTCTGGGACCACAGGCTGGGATACCTCTTTTTATGGACTGAAAGTACGTGTCCAGTTGCTCTTGGTGTTTAGGTTGGGGAAGGGCTAAGGAGGTTTCCTTTTTAGGTAGTTAAATTGCTCCATCTTTTCCTGACGGTGTCTGTGCTTGGCCAGGTCCTCTCATTGCTCCCAGCCCCTGGGATGTTTGGACATTTCTGACAGTATCAGTATTGGTTGAGAGACAGAATGGATGAGCCTTTGGTCTTATCTTTGTTCCCGGAGCCTACGAGGATCCCAGAAATAAACTAATCCTGTCCCTAGATATAGTCTCCTTTTCGAAAATTATTTTTAGATTGTGGGATATTTTGAACATATGCATATTGCCTTATTCGTTGGTATGTACATACTGATACATCTGTGGTGTTCACGGAGGGGTCTGTTATTTGTACTTTAAACCAATAAGAAGCTAACGATTTTTAAAATTCCCTTGCACTGGCCAGAGAGATGATGGCTTTCTACCAGCCCAACCAGGACAGGGAAGGGATGGCGGCCCGTGGCTGAGGGGTGGGCGTCCCCTTCTCCCCGCCCATGGCAGCAGGAGCTGAGAGGACTGAGGAGGCTGGGGGAGGGGGTGGCTCTTTGGAATCCTATCCAATCCTAAAGGCCCTCCTGTGGGAAGGAGCTGCGCCCAGGCGGGTGGCTGATTTCTGGGCTCTGGCTCACCTGACGGCCACATGTGCCCACGCCCTGGTGTAGAGCCCTGGGCGCAGGAAGTCCGCTGCCCTCTGGGCCGGGCACCTGGCCAGGTCAGGTGCGGTCAGGTAGGCGACAGACCGAGGGAGCGACGTCTTCGACGCGGAGCCTGCGGACGCCTGAGCCTGCAGGTAGCTCTTCAGCAGAAACCTAGTGGGCGGGGACGGAGGCAGGTGAGCGGGTGGGGAGCACTGAGGGACAGGCCAGCGCCCCTCTCCCCCAGAGACACACACTCTTATGCCCCCCGTGAGACAACCAGGGCCACCCAGGTTATTGCCCAGTCCTTCCTGATGGTGACTGCCGCCCCCACCCCCACCCCAGGCCAGCCCGCAGGCAGGCCCTTGGGGGTGTGTGCACCGAGGCTGCAGTTTCACAGTGAACCGGGCCGGAGCTGTGCAGCTGGGCAGACAGACCCTGAACCTAAACCCTTCTGGTATGTGAGCAAACAGAACCCTTCCTGATGGTTAGGGTCTCACAGCTTGGGGATTTGTGATGGATTGTACAGCGCCTGGAAGTTTCATTCTTTCTCAGCTGAACAAAGGAAAGATGTAACAATGCTAACATGAGCGGGGAGGTGACCGGTGACTCTTAGCCTCTTCCCTGTGATAACCCACGGCTTACAGCTCTGGGCTCGGACCACCCTGCAGCTCCATAGACCGAGGTGCCGCCTCAGCAGGCCCGTCACCTCCCCGGCCTCAGCGTGTCCGAGTCTAGATGGGGACGGTGATACTCGCCTCCAGTGCCTGGCCCAGTGTGAGGCGCAGAGTTCTAATACACGATGTACTCTTCGTAATTTGGGGAAAACCCCCAATAAATATTACATATTAAAAATTCCAAGAAATGTTACATTCCATATTTGCCAGTAAGCCCTTCCTGCACGGACAAGTACTTGCCCTGTTTAGTCACCTGGGACTAGATGGCCCTGAAAAGGCCTTGTCAGCCAGGAGGCCCGGGACCCCCCTGGTCAGAGAGGGAGGGGGCCGGCCCCGCCATCCCTTCCTGCCTCTGCAGGAGCAGAGGTGTGCAGGGCCTGCGCCGAGCCTGGGGACCAGCTCCGGTCACAGCCAGAGACACTTTCCGGCTGTGATTACTGCCCCAAGGAGACGGGACAGTGTGGGAGGGCGGGGAGAAGGAGATTCAGGGGCCAGGAGGACTCAGACGGCAGGGATGAGAGGGAACCAGCTGTACAGTAAACGGGGGGCAGAGACATTTAGGGGAAGGCCCGTGGTGCAGCAGAAATGTGTGGTTGGCAGAGTGAGCAGAGGCAGGAGCTGCGAGAGGGATGGAGGGGGCAGGGGCAGGGGCCGGGTCGGAGGCCTTGGAGGCCACAGTGCGATCTCCTCTGGGCTTTGAGAAGATGCCTCTGGCAGCCCGAGGGGACGGACTGCAGTGGGCTGATGCTATTCCAGGTGATGGGGCAGAGTCCGGCTGGGAAATGTGGTGAGTCCAGGGGGAGTGGATAGTTGGAGACATATTGTGGGATCTGGACAGTCCCCAAACAGCACTCCCCAAAGTCTGCTGCCGAGGATGCTCCCACCCGAGCAGCCACAGCCTCACCTGGCCACCTGCAGGTAGAGCACGGTGTTCTCGCCCTCGTAGGTGCAGGAGGCTGTCACTCTGCTGACCAGCGATGGCAGGCCGCTCAGCTTTGAGTAGCCGTGTCCGCCACAGGCCCTGCGACACAGCTCGGCCCCCTGGGTGCAGAACTCCGATATCAGGGCCTTTAGACCTGAGCTCAGGGCGTGAAGCTGCAAGAACAGGAAAGTGGTCAAGTGGTGTAGGGGGGCCCTCCAGTCAACACCCATGTTTCCCACGCACTCGGCACCACTGCGTGCTGAAGTAGGAACTGTTCCTCAACTCTCTGGACCAGAAGTCTGAGATTCAGAGAAGTTATGTGACTTGCCCAAGGGCACACAATGAGGCAGTGTTGCGATAAGTAAGGACAGTTAGAACCTAGGAAATCCCTTCAGGCCAGGGTCTTCCAGGTTGCCAGGGTCTCAGGGCCAGGTGCCTCCTGGAGCAGGCTCCCATCTCCCAGGAGTTAGGGCTCTGCTGGTAAGCAGAGGTCTTGGACAGCTGGCCTGTGAGGAAGGAAGTCCACCAGGAACCACTGTCCTGGGTTATGGAATGGGCTGCCAGTCACTGACGTGGCTTGAGTTTTTTGTTCTTAAGAACTAACTAGAAGACGCAAAGACCGCATCAGTGAGCTAGAAGACTAGGTAGGAAAAACTACCCAAACAGAGCAGCATCTAGAAAAAAACCCAAAAACAACAACAACAAAAAAACCTTAAAAAACAGGAGGAGAGCCTAAGGGAACTTGGGGACAACACAAAAATGAAATAACTGTGTAATAGGGGTGCCAGAAGGAGAGGAAAATGAGCAAGGAATAGAAAACCTGTTTGAAGAAGTAATGACAGAAAATTTCCCTGATATTGGGGGGAAAAAAAACAAAAACAAAACACACAAGTTCAAGAAGCTCACAGAGTCCCAAACAAGATGAACCCCAAAAGACCGACACCAAGACATAGTTTAATTGGCAAAACCAACAAAAAAGAATCTTAAAAGCGGCCAGAGGCAGAAAGCTACATACAAAGGATCCCCCGCCAGACTAGCGCCTGATTTCTTAACATAAACACATTAGGCAAGAAGAGAATGGAATGAAATATACAAAGTCATGCAAAGGAAGGGTCTGAATCCAAGAATACTGTACCCAGCAAGGCTATCAATCAAAATTGAGGGTGAAATCAGAAGCTTCACAGACAAAAAAGGAGTAAGGGAGTTTATTACTACCAAACCAGCAATGCAAGAAATGTTAAAGGGTCTGCTGTAAAATGAAGAAATAGAAAGCGAAGAAGGAACATGGGTAAAGAATAAAAATGGCAACAAACAAGTACCTATCAAAAATAATTTTTTATGTAAATGGATTAAATGCCCCAATATAAAGACATAGGGTAATGGATTGGAAAAGAAAACATGCCATATATCTGCTGTCTATAGGAAACCCACCTCAGAAAAAAAGACACAGACTGATGGTGAAGGGATAGAAAAAGGTTTTTCAGGCAAAACAAAACAAAACAAAACAAAAAACAACAACAACAACAACTAAGGTAGAAATACTTATATCTGACAAATTAGATCTCAAAGTGAAGGACAAAAAAGAGATAAGAAAGTTTACTTCATAATATTAAAGGGAGCATTTTAACAAGATATAGCTCTGGTAAACATATATGCACCCAATACAGGAGCACCCAAATACATAAAGAAAACTTCTGGAAGATATCAAGGGAGAGACTTATAGCAATACAATCATAGTAGGAGACTTTAATACCCCACTGACACTGCTGGATAAATCTTCTAGACAAAAAAAATCAGCAAAGAAGCATCAATCCTAAATGACTCACTAGATCGGATAGAACTAATTGACATCTTCAGATCATTTCACCCCAAAGCCACAGAATACACATTCTTCTCAAGTGCACATGGATAATTTTCAAAGACAGACCATATATTGGGTTACAGGCAAAGTCTCTTCAAATTCAAGAAAATAGAAATCATATCAAGCATCTTCTCAGATCACAGTGGCATAAAATTAAAAATCAACTACAATAAAAACAATCCAAAAAAATAAAATTCCTGGAGACTAGCATGCTATTTAACAATGACTGGGTTACCAGAGAAATCAAAGAAGAAATAAACATCATGGTAACAAATGACAATGAAAACACAACAATCCGCCGAAACCGGTTTGGCTCAGTGATAGAGCGTCGGTCTGCGGACTGAAAGGTCCCAGATTCGATTCCGGTCAAGGGCATGTGCACGGGTTGCGGGCACATCCCTGGTGGGGTGTGTGCAGGAGGCAGCTGGTCGATGTTTCTCTCTCATCGACGTTTCTGGCTCTCTATCTCTCTCCCTTCCTCTCTGTAAATCAATAAAATATATTAGAAAAAAAGAAAACACAACAATCCAAAATCTATGGGACACAGCAAAAGCAGTCTTGAGAGGGAAGTTTATAGCTCGACAAGCCTACTGCCAAAAACAAACATAAACAAACAAAAAACATATAAAAAACAATGGTAATAAATTACCTAACCCTACAACTCAGAGTTAGAAAGAAAGCAACAAGAAAAGCCCAGTGTAAGCAGAAAGAAGGAAACAATAAAGATCAGAGCAGAGATAAACGACATAGAGACCAAAGCAACAATACAAAAGATCAACAAAACCAAGAGCTGGTTCTTTAAAAGGATAAAAAGGATGGGTGAACCTCTAGTCAGGCTCACCAAGAAACAAAGAGGGAAGATCCAAATAAATAAAATCAGAAATGAAAGAGGAGAAATAACAACAGACCCCACAGAAATACAAAGGATTGTTAAAAAATACTATGAACAACTCTATTCCAACAAACTGGACAACCTGGAGGAAATGGGCATATTCCTAAAAAAAAAAAAAAAAAAAAAAAAATACAACTTTTCAAAACTCAATCAGGAAAAATCTAAACACTCAATAGGTCAATAACTATGGAAGAGATTGAAGCAGTCATCAAAAAGCTTCCAGCAGCCCTAGCCAGTTTGGCTCAGTAAATTGAGCGTCAGCCTGTGGACTGAAGGGTCCCAGGTTCCATTCTGGTCAAGGTTACATGCCTAGGTTTCGGGCTTGATCCCCAATAGGGGACATGCTGGAGGCAGCCAATTAATGATTCTCATCATTGATGTTTCTATTTCTCTTTTCCTCTCCCTTCCTCTCTGAAATCAATAAAGATATACATATTAAAAAAAAAAAAAAAAAGCTTCTAGCAAACAAAAGCCCGGGACCAGATGGCTTCACAGGAGAGTTTTACCAAATATTCAAGGAAGATTTAAAACCTATCCTCCTCAGACTATTCCAAAAAATTCAAGAGGAAGGAACACTTCCAAGCTCCTTTTATGAAGCCAGCATCACCCTAATACCAAAACCAGATTAAGACAACAAAATGAAAGAGAATTACAGGCCAATATCCTTCATGAACATAGATGCCAAAATCCTCAACAAAATTCTAGCAAATCGGATCCAGCAGTACATCAGAAAGATCATACACCCCGACCAAGTAGGATTTATCTCAGGGATGCAAGGATGGTACAATATCCGAAGATCAATAAAAGTGATACATCACATAAACAAATTGAGAGATAAAAACCACATAGTTATATCAATTGATGCAGAAAAAGCATTTGACAAAACCCAACACCTTTTCTTGATAAAAACTCTCAGCAAGGTGGGAATACAAGGATCATACCTCAACATAATAAAAGCCATATATGACAAACTCTCAGCCAACATCATACTCAATCATAAAACCATTTCCCTAAGAACAGGAACAAGACAGGGATGCCCACTCTCACCATCCTGGTCGACATAGCACTGAAGTATTAGCCATTGTGATTAGATAAGAAGAAGAAATAAAAGGCATCCAAATTAGAAAAGGAAGTAAAACTGTCCTTATTTGCAGATAGCATGATATTGTGCATAAAAAACCCTAAAGACTCCATAAAAATTATTAGACTTAATAAATGAATTTGGCAATGTAGCAGGATACAAAATTAATGCCAAGAAATGTATGGCATTTCTATACACCAATAGTGAACTTATAGAAAGAGAGACTTAAAAAGCAATCCCATTTACCATTGCACCAAAAAAAATTAAGATACCTAGGAATAAACTTAAGTAGGGAGGTGAAAGACCTATATGCGGAAAACTACAGGACACTGAAAAATAAAAGATAGAGGAAGACATAAACAGATGGAAGAACATACCATGTTCATGGATTGGTAGAATCAACATCATCAAAATGTCCATACTACCCAAAGCAATCTATAGATTCAGTGCACTTCCCATTAAAATACCAAGGGCATATTTCACAGACCTAGAAAAAAAGTCTCGAAAAATTCATCTGGAATAAGAAAAGGCCCTAAATAGCCACAGCAATCCTGAGAAAGAAGAACAAAGTAGGTGGGATCTCAATACCAGATTTCAAGCTGTATTACAAAGCCACTGTTGTCAAAGAACAGACATATAGACCACAAGAACAGACATATAGACAAATGGAATAGAATAGAGAGACCAGATATTGTCTCAAACCACTATGCTCAATATTTGACAAAGGAGACATGAATATACAGTGGAGTCAAGACAGTCTCTTCAATAAATGGTGTTGGCAAAACTGAACAGATACATGCAAAAAAAAATGAAACTAGATCACCAACTTAAACCATACACAAAAACAAACTCAAAATTGCTAAAGGACTTAAACATAAGAGTGAAAAGCATAAAAATACTAGAAGATTCCACAGGCAGAGAAATTTCAGACATATGCCGAAGCAATTTCTTTACCGATACCACTCCTAGGGCAATGAGAACTAAAGATAAACACACACACACACACACACACACACACACACACACACAAAAAAAAAAAAAAAAAAAAAAAAAAAAAAAAAAAAAAAACCACACAAAACAAACAAACAAAACAACCAAATGGGACTACATTAAAATAAAAAGCTTTTGCACAGCAAAAGAAACCATCAACAAAATAACAAGAAAGCCCACTGTATGGGAGAACATATTTGCAAATGTTGTCACTGATTAAGGTTTAATCTCTAACATTTACAGGGAACTCATACAACTTAAAAGGAAGATGAATGATCCAATAAAAAAATGGGCAATGGACCCAAATAGAATTTTTTCGAAAGAAGACATAAGGAAGGCCAAAAGACAT